CTGTTGTTGACGCAAGAATTGAGCCAAGCACCTATTTAGTAAGGTTTTTGTACTGTAACTAGTCAATTGCGAGGATTGGTCATTGCCACTGGGTAAACTTGCTACTGCCTTTGATAACAATGATAGCATCTGATAGGTTTTTAGGTCAACCTTAGTAATATAGTCTGTAATATAAAACATTGCAGCCTTCGCAGCTTTACCAGAAAAAATACATTTAATGTCATGATTATGTCTGCAAAAAACCAGAATATATGGATTGTAGTAGTTCACATTTGCATCTTTACACATCAGAATGACAGAGTTAGTATTACGATCAAAATATGAGCTCTCAACAACCTCATGGGGAAATAAAAATCTGCATTTACCTTCATTACCGTATTTTTCACAGACTTTACGGTGTTGATGACGCTGCAAGACTTCTCCACATTTTTTAATTTCAGTGACAAACACTGACTCCCATTCATTCAGAATATTGAGTGCCGATTCACCAACAATAGGTGGTTGTGGTGGTCGTTCAATACGAGGTTCGTACGTTTGATCAACTTGCATATCAATATTAGGCAAGTGATGAAATATAATGCTCTCCCAGTATCTGAAAAATCGGTATTCAAACTCATGACTGTCACGCAACCTAGCATGCAAATCAGAAGGATTCAGACCTCCAAGTAGCCATAATACAAAGTGACCATGCAGTGTACCACGCTCAGTACATTCAGGTGTACCATAAAATGCACGCAACTTTCCTAAGATTCCACCTTGCCTTTTGGAGCGTCTCTTAGAAAAATCCCAGCCCAAGAGGTCTTCAAATATAGTGTGTATACAAAAGTAGAAGAAATCGCATGCTGCAACTGGATCTTTGGCCAGCCGCAAAGCACGTTCATGTGCAGGCACAACTAGTGGAAATCGTTTGGCCAAGTCTACAGTAGTGTCACCATACATGACTTGGAAAATTGGATTATGTGCAGGCGAAGGATTTATGGTCATGTAAATATGTGGCATGCCAAAGTAACCAAAGTAGCTACGTATCTCATTTCTGACCCGAATTTTTGAGGCTTGAGAACCAGGAATATGTCCACCAATAGTGTTCACATGCTTTAGCAAGTCTAATGCATCTTTTTGCTGGTCAGTCAAATCTGCATATTTACCTTCATTCTCAAGATGGTTAGAGACTGACATAAGCAAGGAGGGTGAAAGAGTGACTAATCTTCTAGCGATAGTCTGAAAGTAGGGCTTTTGTACTGCAAAGTGTGTGTGTAAGTGAGCAGAGCGACGCTGCCATATATTAAGTGCAATGAACATAAACATGTGATGATACCGAAATGCCTTGTCTGCAAGATCAAGATAGTAGTTGACCTGAGTATCAAACTCTATTGGCTTTGGCCTACTAGGATCTTCAAACCCACCAATGCCAAATGGATATAGTGTTGGAAACATACCTGGAAACAAGTTAGGATTGTTGTATTCAGAGACAGGCAGCATACCATGATGAACTACAAGATCAGGTTGCGATGCAGTTGGATTAACTATACTTCTTATTGCCGCAGCAGTAAAGCTTCTCCCACTAAGTTTATCTCCTTCTGGATCTGACATGCCCATTTTCTCCATCATAAGTTGTGGTTCATTTGATAGAGGGCAGCTTTTGGCAAATAATTCTGCAGGATGTTCTGAAAAGCCTGCCGTTTCATCTTGAAATATAAGTGTAGTATCCATTCTGTGATCTTCGACAATTCGTGAACTAAGACCCGGTAACACATCATCTTCAGGATACATATCAAGTGCAGACAGATCAAAAGTCATATGTTTATACAACTTGTTATGACTCTTAAGCCACAGTAAGAAGCTCCAAATCTTACGCTTCCGCACACGATACATGTTTCCTACGTACTCAGGCTTAAACTTATGTGGACCAATAAAAACAACTGTAAGCATACCAGCAACATCGGCAGGTGTTCTTGGAAGCACTGATGCTGTGGAAACAACATTTAAATCATGTGCACATGTGTTTCCATGAAACACCTTTGGCTGTGCAGGGTCAGATGACTGATAAATTCTTGTGACATGTGCAGTGCTACGGTAGATTGCACAAACCATTTCTTCAACCCAGGTTATATCATTGTATTGCTCAGGCAGACAACCACGATACAGATTATTAACTAAGCCATATTGTGGTGTAGTACGATGTTGTATTGCTGTATAGCAGCTCGAACAAATTTTGATAGCTGTGACCATGCCATTATCATAAGTCAGCCCTTTCTTGTCCAACATACAGCCGTCTAACCTTGAGTCCTTAAAAACAAACTCAGAGCTATTCTGTTTAACTACGCAGTTTTCTAGAATGAAAGGATCTGTGATTTGGAATGCAGATAATACTTGCTTATTCAGCAGTAAACCATCCATCTTATATTCAGAAATATGAATCTCATGTGACTGACGAGCACATACAGCACAAATTGAAGGTGAATGCCACTGAGTATGAGTGTAATAATTGTTCAGACAGTTAAGAATCACATTGTGAGGAACAAGTTGTGGCCATGCATCAATATATGCTTTTGTCTCTGCACTGTCCTGTTCAATTTCTAACGCCTTTTCAACTCTACGCTGCTCTTTCTTTGCATCACTGTTTGTATGAGACTCCATGTTTAATTTATCAAAAATCTCAGATGGAACACTTGACTTTAGTAGCTTGAAAATCAGTTCACTACGAGGACTACATAACTCACTCTGAGATAAGAATGGTAAATGACACAAGATAGTATTCAAAAACTTTGAAGATTCAACTTTGAATAAGTACTGGGACAACTCAACAATATGCTCAACTATAACTGTGCAACGTGCATGACGTTTTACCGGCAATTGGTTTGTAAACGTAATACCATAGTTATAAAGTGTTCGCATTAACACAGATGACAAACGGTGAATAAGAACACTAGCTGGAGTGACAAACCAGGGTAATTCTATACATAATTCTACAGGCGGTATGGCATATCCAATTAATGGATGTTCCTCAAAAAGTGGAGAGTTCGCAGAACGTATTGCTAGTGCTACAGGTTCACCATACAATTTAATATACAGAGCACTGAGCAGAGCATACCGGGATTTGAGAAGTTGATCATCACCATGCAGACACTTTGCTACATCTTCATTGGACATGATAGCAACAGATGCACGACTCAATTGAAAGTCAACAAGAAGTCTTCTGCAAATCTCAGACTTGTTACGGTCTTTCTGAGGTATTAAACAGTGAGATGACACAGCTGCAGACTGCAGAGTATGAAGACTTAACCTTTGGAGTGTACGCAAATACTGTTCATCAGACAAATAGAACCATGAGGGATTGAAATCTGCCATGGCTAAAGTCAATCGCTTACGCTACTTCAGTCCGAAGATTTAAAGGTGTTTCAACACAAATCCTTAGTGTACTTGAACAGCGTGCTTGAAGACAAATACTTAATGTGCTTGAACACAAAATGTTTAACGTGCTTGAACACGAAATGTTTAACGTGCTTGAACACGAAATGTTTAACGTGCTTAGACACGAACTCAATCAAAACAGCACTGCGAAACTGTGAACACAGTATCACAAATAGCAACTGCATTGTGCAAATTAAACTGTAAGTATCCATTTGAACAAGTCAACAAGCATAGACGCACCTATTTTGCAGCTACACTTGTCCGAAACAGTCGCAAAAAATGCGAAAACTATGTCTTCAAGAGAGCAGGTCCACGTAGATTCTACATGGTTTAGTGGTGAATCAGTAGATTAGTAATAATACGAGAAGAAGAATACACTCACATGCAAAACAGAATGATGTCGTATAGCGACTCGTCGAGGAGCGACACTGAGGTGTAACGTCGTCCAGCAGCGCCAACATCGTCGAGAAATCGAGCGCGCACGTGATGTTTGCGAGCGCCATCCTACGTGAATAGACCTGCGCTGGAACACCGTGGGCAGGTCGAGCGCAAGGGCGGAACGTTCGCGAGCGCGATCTTACGTAAATAGACCTGCACTCGAACAGTGTCGACAGGTCCAGTGCAACAGCGACGTTCGCGACCGGAATCCTAGACGGAGTCAAGACTCAAATCGTAAGTGTTATTACTCAACTTATTTACTGATGTTGTTTTCGCACAACTTCATTCGCAGAGGCGTCTGCCGTTTCCCCTTGCCAAAGCCCTCCTCCAGTTCCTGGAGTCGGGGAACGCCCAGCGAATGCCGTATCGATCAAGTAGCAAGTGGAAGACAGGGGCGAGGACGAGACCGCCCACACCAGACCCAGCGAGAACAATGCCCATTGCAGCGCCCCGATGTCGGTCGAAATATGCAGGAGTGAGTGACATGATTGGGAAATAGTACAGGCTCGATCCAATGCCATACAGTAACGCCTGCGTGAGGAACAAATGCCACAGCTTTTCCGTGCAGCGCACAGGTAAATCCAAGGTAAATCCGTCTCAACCCGTGGCTTGCCAGTTCGAGCGAGGTAGCTCACCTTGGTACTAAAGCTGGCAAGAAAGATGCCCATGCACATAATGAATGCTCCAGAAAGCGTGATAAGCATAAGGCGATCGACCCGAGCCATCAGAGGGTTCACGAAGATACTTCCGCTCCAAGTGAGGCCAGTTCCAATGGTCCCTACCAGCCACACCAGCGCGTCTCGACCTCGACCATCGCCAATGTTGGTCTTTCCTAGAACGTTGTGAAGAAGCTATCTGACCGTACAATAGGTGCACAGAGGCAAACCTGAAAGAGACCATAGATGGAGTTGATTCCGATGACATGGAAAGTCATCAAGAAGTAGTGTTGTTGGCGAAACCTCGCCACCTCGCCTCGCCGGCACGGCAAATGGCGATCGCCAGGCCGGCGAGCGGCTCGATAGCGATTGAGATGGGTGAAAATAAAATAAAAAGAAAATAGATAAGCGCCCGCACTTTTGAATACTGAGGCCGATCGCTATCGCGGTCTGATCGTAATCTCGTACTCGCTATGCAGCTATTTATTGTTACAACTAGCCATCGACCCAACCATCCCAACATGGCTTATTCGGCCTTTTGCTATTACGACCTCGACATGCCTTTTTGCCGCAGTCGCGGCATGCGTTTGGGCAGCGCCATGCTGCCTGCCGTCCGTTGCACTTCGCGGAACCACATTTCGGACAGGTACGTTCTTTCCGTGCCTTCTTCATCGGCCGCTCAACGGAGGTTGCATCGAGCGCACGTTTGCGCGCGAGTGCCTCCAACTGACGTGCAGGGTTGACCATTCCCGTGGATGGTAGAAGGAGCGGAGTGGTTGGAGATGCCATGGAGGAGCTTGGCCCTTGGAGTGTAGAATGTGTCGATGCAGGTACTGGTGCTGCAGCGAATAATTCTGTGTGTGCCAATGGCAATGAACTTTGCTCACTTTCGGATGCCATGCCCGACAGACCTTGGGCATATTGCACGGGGCACGGAGAGTCGTCAACGGCGGAATGCTCGTTCGGAAGAGGGAGAAGACCTGCGGAGATGTCGGGTCGTTGTCGGGTACGTTCCAAGGCTTGCGGCGCCTGCTTCGATCTGAGTGGATCACGGACTGTGGTATCAATAGTTTTTCTGCTCTCGTGTGTCTGTGCCAGAATATATTTGACATTCATATTACTCTTCCATGTTGCATAATAGCTCTTGAGGTGTTCAACGAGCTGTGATAAATTCAATTGTGACTGCCAAGTTGCTTGTGAGCGTGCCGGATACATACCTTGTATAAAATTTCGGGATTGGACTCCGCAACCCGATTCCATATCCTCACAGCTTGAACCCATTCTGGTTCTTTGTCAGTCTGATTAAAGGCTGGTTCCTCCTGCATAAGCTTGCTGAATAACTGGTACTCTGCTCCCGAATGAAGTGGGAGCACGGCTTTCCGAGTTCCCTGCTTGGCGGCCAGGTATGTATGCTGCTGCTTTTGATCAAAGGTTGGTTGGTATTGCTGCATGCCGCTATGCACCCTCACATCCTCTGGGATAGGTAGGATGCCGAATACCTCAGAACTTGGCCTGTATAGATTGCCATTCACCCAACTGCCCATCTGACGAGCATCAGGAATAATGTCAGCGGTCACTGCGGTGAGTTCCTGTAGCTGATTGGTCAACCAGATGTCGTAATGACCTGAATATTGCCGACCCGTGGCATTGTAAGTTCCGACCTGAGGAAAATCATAACCATTAATGCTTCATAGCACAAGTATTGGTACTCACCAAGAGATTGTGTCGCAAAATGAAGTCAAGCAAGCAAGAGAGCATATGTCGTGGAGATACACCGGATATGGGTAATCTTGACCGCAGATGTTTATGCACTCCGCCCTCTGTCCAATTAGTTCCGCGGATACATCGATACATGGGGAGTCTTCCTGCCTTTTCATCCACTCCAAGAGTATAATAGAGTGCAATTCCAGGTGGATCCGACAAGTAGCCCAGTTGGATCAGGGACAGGATGTTCTTTGCAACATGCCAAGCTGCTATATTGAATAGTGGTAAGCCTGTCTTTGCATCCTTCAGTGGTCCATATGCCTGAAAAATGCGAGCAACATGAGGATACAGCAATTCTGGTGGAGGGATAAGACGTTTGCAGCGCTTCCAAAGCCACTTGGGAGAAACACGTCGCATATCCTCCCAAGTACGTGGTGGATTGAGACTGGAGAGATATTGACAAATTTTCTGCTTGTCACCTTGATCTGGAATGAAGATGGTGTCACGTAATGCTTGGGCAAATGCAACTCGCAGTCCATGTGTCTTTGGGATGTAAAGCATGTTAAACACGTGGAATGGATCCTTGAGTACTCGGCTTCGAATTGGTAGGTCCCACTGAGAAGGCAGAGCATCTAGAATAGCCTTTCCAGTAGCTTCACTGTCCTGATCTCGGTCAATACCACTGATGTCAGAATCCCATGGGACAGGCTCAGCCTCTTCACAGTCAAGCACTGCTGGTCCAATGCCCTCAAGATTGTCTTGTGACACTGATTCATCTTCAGAGCAGTGTGAACCAGTCACAGGTCCATCAGAGAGTGCGTCAAAATGTCTGGAATTGTTTTCAGCAGCAGAAGATATGACTGATGGAGGCGATCCAGAGGGGGATGCCTCTGAAGTTATCAGATCTGATTGGCGTGTACGAAGATGTGACTGCAAGCATACAAGGTCAAAGGGTGGTGATCCAAAATCTGTGAGAGCACGTTTGTGATGTGTTCCAATGATTGCACCAGGAACAAGGACTTCATCAACTTGAATCACAGTCCGTTTTGATGTGAGATTGATCTCATCATATTTGTCTTTGCTGGCGTAGTGTGAGATAATTCCTTTGGCAATCAAGCGAGTGTTGTCGGTGTGATACAGCAGCACTGGAAGTGATGGAAGTGGATTCAGTGGCAAGGGTCCAGGTGCGGGTACCTTTTGAAGCTCCTCGTATATCCGCAGAGATGCATAAGCATCCAGGGCAGCATACTTAATCTGTTCCTGTGTGAGAGTCACATTTTCCCATGTCATAGAGACACGCTCAGGAACCGACTTGTCCAAGCATTTCTGCAGGACAACAGCACAAAGGTCTGAAAGACTAACTTGTGCACTAGAAACAACATGTCGTTCTTTTGCCATCTTCGCCAGATCAAAGCCACCTGTGAAAGGCATGGAAGAGTGTGTCTCCATCTCAAGATGACACAGGTCCACATCCACAAGGCGGCCAACTTTCCGGATATGATGACTAGAAAGAAATGACTGAAGACTTGTTGGAAAGGCTCCTGCAGCAAGAATTTGCCCTATCTATAAGACGAGTCAGTCCTGCATGTATCCATGATATAAACAACTTACCTTGAGGATGTACACTTGATTGCCAAAAGCAATCTGGATAATTGCTGTTCGTGCACGACCATGGCTCTGACCAGCTTCCGCTAAGTCCACATTCCACTCTGCATCAAAACCAACGGTTATTGGATTGTTTTCATCAACTTGATCAATGATTGTCAGTATCGCTTGCTGGATGGCATCTGCAGTCTCCTTCACATAGACATTGACATGCGATGGGATTACAAGTTGATCAAGATGAGCATACTTCTCCACTGGAATGACATTCTCACGAAGAGAAGGGAAAGATGTTTCCAGAAATTGCTTGTCTGCCATATTATCAGTGTAGAAGAGAGTTGGTTGCCGATGACCATATAGCTCCAAGGATTCTCGCATGCGCACGAGAGCAAGTTCAAATTGTGAGTGAGCCTTGGTTGCAACAAGGTTACACACACGGATCTCACCCCTTTCATTGGTGACAGTGAGAAGCCTGCAGTAAATCTCAACTCCATTCATCTTTAGAACATGTTTCGTGATCTGTGAGGATGAAGGTCTGTTATATTACATGAACCACTAGTATACAATGGAGCTCACCTTATGACTGTGGTCAATTGCACAGATTTCAGCAGTCAGCATTGATGTGTGCTGATTGATATCATGTTCATGCCCCTCCATAAACTGGTCATACATATTACGGAGCCACTGCGAGCTTGGGACAAAATCATGGTATCCGTCGAGAGAGGTGTCATCAAACGGAAGAAAAGGTGCAAATGTGCGGTCCCCCAGCCATTCACCGAGGGCACGATGACCTTGGAGGAATTGGAGATACTGAAGTTGCATGAGATCATAGTGCCGAAGATGTTGGACTCGCAGCGTATCAGAGAATTGCTTTGCTCCCATACCATTCTGGAAGCACGAGCGCATAAACTGGAAGACCTGTTGAGACATCCCACTGCATCGGCTCAAATATGCAGGGAACTCAGCACATAGATCTGGAGGCAGTTGTGCTAGGATGCGAGAATCCCAGCTGCGAAATGTGATGTTGCCGGTCTTGCCCGACTTTGGAAATATGCAGCTTGGGCAGCGATAGCGGTAGCCGATAATCCAGAAGGCTTTGTCAAAGTCAACAACGCGCCGAGGGTACAAGACATGTCCATCGCGATAGAGCTTTGTCTTGCATTTCGGACAGGGGATGCCATGTGGCGTCAAAGGAAGGGGGTCCCATAGAAAGAACTGTGGCGAGTACAGATCTTGCGGAGAGACTTTGTTACTGCGAAGAGTGAAGTAACGAGATTTTTGAGGAAACCAAAAGGTGCCACTCCGATACAGTGCCGGTAACTTATCGCTGTCTCCACGCTGGCGTGCCTCGGTGACTTTCTCGTTGAATTCGCGCATCAACCAAGACGAAAGAGCACGGCGCTTTGATTTCGGCGCAGTGGGAGAATCCCCAGCATTCACCTCACCAGGATCTGCCTCTTCATCCTCCACAGGAACATCGTCCTCCTGTCCTAATCCATCCATCACTAATCCAATATATCCATCACCGTCAACGGCCTCCTCGTCAGCGACACCATCCACCGGGCGGGTCGGGTCTTCCTCTGGCAGTACATATCGGATTGCAGGAGGTGGGTCAAGAGGCTCACAGTTGGACGATATGTCCACGGGCTGTGTCACGTCTGTCGGGGATTGGGTGTTGTGTCCAGGAGCTAGGGATAGGTCATCTTGGTTATCAATGATGGGTGGCACTGACACGATAGTGGGAGCATTTTTGTGCTGCAAGGTAGATGCAGTAGTACCCGGCGTCCCTCGAATATGAATTTTGTCCTGATGTTATGTCAGCTTTAGTAAGTCCTTGAAAATCAGAATTAGACATACCTGAATAACCTCCACATGTACACTGCTCGCAACGAGCTGTAAATTCTTACGAGGACGTCCACGTCCACGTCTGATCGGCTCTTCGCTGACCTCCCCTGCTTCCTCAGCTGCCTTGCGCGCAAGCTGCTTGTGTCCCGTTCCCTTTGGTCTCCCGCGTTTGCGCGTCACCACTACGCTGCCTGCAGTAGATGTCGTGTTTGCACGCACAGCACGTTTCTCATTCTGCGGCTCATCGGAGCTTCTGCGCGTACCGTCAGACTGGGAAATGGGAGCTGAGGGGCGAACGGCTGCAGTACTGCGAGGAAGGGACAAGGACCGCAGTCGCGCATTCTGTGGCTCATCGGAGCTTCTGCGTGTACTGTTGGAACGGGAAACAGGAGGGGCTGAGGGGCGAATGACTGCTGCATTGCGAGGAAGGGACAGGGATCGCTGGTGCGCGTTGTTTTGCTTTTGTGCATCAAAATTGTTGGCACTTTTACTGTAGAAGACATGTTTGGCATGCAGAGTAAGTATTAGAATAGATATAGCACTTACCTGGGCACCAATTCCATTTGCACATTTTTCGAGGTAAGCTGTAACCTGGGCGTCACAGCTTCCACGGAATCGTAGTCAAATTCCCAGAAATATTCATCATATTCATCGCGCTCTTCGTTCTCCATCGCACCGTGAACTTGAACGTGAATTTTCGATGCCTGAAGATCCCGGCTGTTGGATTGTCGAGTCGCGCGCGTCCAACTTGAATGCCGGCAAACGTTCACCCAGCAATATCAGAAAAGCGAAAGCGGAGTATTATTGAGTGGATAGAACGCGATATCTCGATTGTCGACGGTACTTGAAGGCTGGTAAAATAAACAGAATCGTGCGTACCGTGAAGAGCAGAGTGCACCGGCCGACGGCTTGGCGAGTCGCGTCGCGCCATGTTGCGTCGTGGCGCATACTCAATATTCTCGCGTAGCATTTCATGCGAGGGCAATGTTGGTGTATTGAAGGCCGCGGTCGCGCCGCATGAGTAGCAGCGTCGAAGCGTATCTACACAGCTGCGTACACAACCCACGAAGCCGTCTGTGCTTCTCCTTGCCCATCAACTCACCAGGGAGCTGGGGAACGGCTACTACGTATGGCCAGCTCAACACGTGATGTGATTACGTACGCTATCAGTATCAGTATCACCCATCTCAATGGTAGTGGGGACGGGCAATCCCTGCGAGCGTCGCTTGTATTTGCTCATATTTGTTTACTGTGGCAGATCCTCAGAAATCGACGCAGCACTTCAAACACGTACAGCGCTTTCTACCGCGCAAGAATATATGATTTTTTTGTCTACACCAATATTTAAGGTCAAGCTCGATGCAACGTACAAGCCAGAAGCTGAAAAACAGGCCACCGAATGCTCATTATGTGACGGAAAGGCTGAAGTAAATGAAAATTAAAAATTCCGCCTTGAACGTTGCATTGAGAAAAGCGTTCAGAGTGTTTCTCCTCTGCAAAAGAAGTCGGGTTAGTGAAGCGTTGACGCTGCAGACGTGTTCGAAAGATGACACCGCACGTCCAGGTGAAGTCGCGTCTCCCGCGCGTCGCGCGTTTAAGCGCTCGTTGTGGCGCACTTGTTCATGCACCCGTTTGTGCGACTTTGCTCCCTCGCTATAGTCTCGCAAGTTATTTCTAGGCCTTTCACTGCTTTCTTGGGCCATTTTGATTCAATCTTGGATACTCTGTGCTTGCACTAGTCTTGTGAATCTGTTTTAGTCACCGGCATCAACTTGAATCCGATGGGCTCTAAGTGCAGGGATAGACACGGCAGGCATAGACGCAGGACAACTGCCCAACAGCAAGCTCTCAAATGTGCCCGTGCAAACAAGGAGAACTCCGCACCTTCCGCAGCCTCAGGAGGTTTGGAGAAGCAGCATCGTAAATTGGTATGTGGCCGATATCATATGCACTGTGCGATGAGTACTGATGGAATGCAGGGCATAAGAAGACGACTTATCTTGGCGGAGACACAGCTTTCAAGTGCACGCGAAGAGTTGCAGGTGGCGGAAGAGGCACTGAAGATGGCTGAAGACAATCAGAAACAACACCATGAAGACATCAATGCTCTTCAAAGTGAAGCGGAAGCTCACCGTGCATGTGCAGATCATCACTACACAAGGTATCGTGTAGCAAGACGACGTGCAACACGGCTAGATATTGCTAACGTGAAGCTACGGGCTCGGCTGAAGGAGATGCAATTTCTTTCACGTATGGTGAACCAATTGAAGACCGACCTTACATTGGCACAAGAAAAGACTCAAAAGACAGAAGAAGATGCATGTAATCTACTCACCAGAGCATATGATGAGAAGAGGCACCTCTCAGCATCATTGCGTGACTGTCACGGAATTATTCGCAAGCTGCAGAGACGTTGCAAGAGGGCTCCTAGCATTCTTGCAAGGGCCATTGAGAAGGCAAAGACACGACCATTCACCTACAGACTCAAACAGAAGGGAGTCTACACCGTGGAGGCTAGAGCACTGGCACGACTGTTATTGAAGAGCGGTTGTGCACAACGGAAGGTCGGGAAGACGATACAACAGATTGGTCACGTTTTAGGAGTCATGGTGCCTGAGGTGATGAGCGCGAAGACTGTGCGTCGGGCTGTTTTTGAAGGAGGAATTGCAGCAGAGATTCAGCTTGGGTATGAGATATCGCAGGCAAAGAGTACGTGAATGCTTCAAATCTGTAACATCCACTATGTTCTGACTGTGAGACTATAATCATACAGGCTTTACTCTCAGTGGTGATGGAACATCTCACCGGCATACCAACTACGAGTCACGACATATTGCTTTGCAAACTCCAACATACACTGACTCCATCGGCAGCACTTCTACTACTGCGCCAAAAAATCGCCTAGTTGGTGTCGACTCATCGGTAGACCACACCAGTGAAAATCAATTTGCAGGATGGCTTACCAAGTTTGACGGACTCTCCACAACATTCAATAGGTCATCACTTGCAAGACGCACTGAATCAACTCTTGAGCTCGAGGACTTTGCTGTGAAGGCAAAAGGGATGGCAGGAGATCATGCGACTGATCAGAAAAAACAATACCGCATATTCAAAGCATGGAAGGATGACACCATTCGGATGATGCTTGCCCACAAATTCTTAGAGAAGCAACCATCACAGACACTCAGCGACTTCCTTGCCCGATCAATGGACCTTACAGTGATGGCAGCAGGTGGCGAAGCAAAGTGGAATGAGCTCTCACACGATGAACAAGTTTCACTCAATCTGGCCAAAATGAAAGAGGAGTACTTGCAACTAGGAGAGAAGAGGTTTGGAAACTTGCCTGCGGAAGAGAAACGGGGATTCGAGCTGTTTCTCTGGCTGGGTTGCTGTATGCATAAGGACCTGAACAGCGTAAAAGGCGGGAACATAACAATGTCTGGAGTATGGCAAAAAAATGGCCTGACTCCTCCAATGTTGTTGGCAAACAAAGACAATGCCGTGACTTTGCGAGGAATCTCTCAGCCATCGACAAGTGCTGAAATTCGTGCTATGGATGTGTCAGCTCATGGCGGTGTCAAACTTGCCAGTCTTGCAGGTGCAATTTTCAACCATAAGGACGACAAGAAAGGACAACAAGATACTCAATTGTACTACTTCCGGCAAATTGTAGGGCACACAACAATTTTCCCCGATACCAGCAATACTCGCTACCAGACATATTGTGCTGCTGCAGAAGAACTTCTCGTACACCGCCTAGAATATGTTCACTTTCTCAAGGTCATTCGTGATAAGAAGGACAAGCCTGGATTCAATCATATGGAGCAGAATGTCTATGATGGACTCCATGACATTCCTACCCTGACAGAACTGGCAGTATTGGCCTTATATTCACAGGCAGTCACTCGCCCATACATGCGAGTTGCTCGCATTCGTCAAAATGGCTTGAAACTCGGACCTTTGCATGCTCAACTCAAGATGTTTGTCAAGCTACTCATTGATGATCCCGAGTTAGTCCTATCCTCAGAAGCAACATTTCATTCTGGGGCTATGGATCAGAAAGAATGGGACCGCCCAGAGGCTGTTGCAGCTGTGCATGAGCTGTCTTCACAGTTGCCATATCTCAAGGTTGCATTTGTTGCATTCTTGGAAGGTGCTTTGATAACTTGGGAGAGATTCACAGAGGAGTTCACACCAGGTGGTGCCATTGATCAGGCAACTTCAGAGGAATTAGACGAGGCATGGATGTTCTCAACAAATGACGACAACGAAGGTGCACTTGGTGGGCTTCGTTTGTGGAAACGCAGAAATCCAAATGGCACACAAGCATATTTCAATGCACAGAAGAAACACGACCACAATGATACAGCAAATTTTATGACCGCAATGCTCACAGAAGAAGATCATCAGCATATTCGGAGGGAAGCACGGATTCTTGATGAAAGCAAGCATGAGGCTATCCGTCGCAAACAGCAAGTAGACCACGACATTCAAGTGGCGGCAGCAACAGCTCAACAACGTGAAGAGAAGGAGAAGAAGCACAAGGCCAAAATAGCCACCATTAAAGCAACTCCTCTGATTTTTGCGGACACTGAACTTGAAAAGCTCAAGAAGACTCAGCTCGAGGCACAGCTTGCAGTGTACCGGCTCAATGACCCAGAGGTTCCACTCAAAAGTAAAGTTGGTAAGCGAGAAAATGTACTTACTGAACTGCGAAAAGCCATAGCACGATACAAGGCGGCAGAAGCAGCCGGAAATACAAGTCAGGCTGAGTCCAGCAATACAAGTGAAGCAGAGATGTGCATGGGGGTGGATACTGACCTAGAAACAGACTCCGAAGACTGAGAAGGGTAGTAGGTGCCATGGTAATCACATACCCTTGTATTTGTTATGAGATATCCTGTTGACGAGTGAATGTGACCGGGTGTTCAGCGCAAGTCGCGGTGCGTCACTTCTGCGGCGGGCGCTTGATGACTAAGCGTCCATAGACGTTATAGGAATTGCCCGTCCCCAATGGTAGGCGAGCCCGGCGAGCTCCCTCCTGCTGGCGAAACTTGGCGAAGCTCACGCCATGTGACGGTCAGGTGATGCAGCCCTACATATGGAATTTCAGCACTCATACTTCCAAATCAGTCCAGTTCATCTATGCCCTGTGACTGTGACATGGTCTGATGTTCCTCAAATTTATACAGCTGGATTATATCTGGAGCCGGAAGGTACATCTGAGCGAGGACTAGGAGGCTTCTATATACATAGCTGAGGCAGGGACTGCAAAAATGTAGGAACATCAGTTTCTTATGTTGTCTCTAGGCCTGTAGATACCCCAGACATAGGTATAGTGAAAATTTCAGTGTTTCTGCAGTTTGCCACTCTCGCCAGCATCGCCAGCCCTCGCCAGCACAGGACGCATAACCCCTTTTTTCCCAAGGAAATAACTTGGAAAAATGTGTGGAAATCAATAAAGTTATACTGCAGGAAAAACATGAGGAAATGTGTAAAAGAACAAAGCATTTCCGCAGTTTTTCCACTGGAAATAAGTTGGTCGCCAAATATGGTAATTTTGTCCGGGTTTTGGCATGTCCTGGCATGTCCAGTTGCCTGATATGGTAGGCAACTTATTTCCAAGGGAAAAACCGTGAGAATGTTTTGTTCTTTTCTCACTTTTTTCTTGAGGTTTTTCCTCTGAAAATATATTATTGATTTCCATGCTTTTTGCCAGGTTATTTCCAATGGATAAAAGTGGTAATGCCTCCTGTGCTGGCGGCTTGAGTTTCGCCTCGCCGGCGCTTGGCGAGGCCTTCCGGGAGTTTTGCCCACGACACTATCAAGAAGCCAGATAGCACCAGAAGTATCTGATATTTGCGCGTCGGTAGCTCGTTTGAATCAGCTAAATCGATATTTTTCGCTGAAGCATTTTCTTCAAGCTCATTAATATTGGATTGTTGGTGAGCAGGCAGAGGTCGTAGGACGATGGATGCCATACTTGTCATGGTCGAAGACGATATGCCACTGCGAACAAATACAGCACAACACTCGGGTGGATCGGCCGAGTTGCACGCAGCGACGACGCACCTGCACTACCCCGCGCTTCGCTCATAAATTCGACAACTAACTGGGCCGCAATGGCTGAACCAATTCCACACACGTTCCCAGCCTCCAAGCTGGGCGAGTATACCGTCATCAAGGAGATTGCGGAAGGGACGTTTGGCAAAGTCAAAAGTGAGCCGGTAATTGGGCGAATTTGCCTCCGTGAAGTCGTCCTGACGGTGTTCTGGCATTTCCAGTGGCCGTGCATACGATCACTGGCCATGAGGTAGCCATGAAGTTCATCTCAAAGCAGGTCATCAATGCCACGAAGACGAAGACGAGAGTACAGCGCGAGGTGGAGTACATGCGCACGCTCAGGCACCCCCACATCATCAAGCTGTGAGTGTCGTCGTTTCACATGCTCAACTACCTTTTTATCATGCTGCAACAACTAGATATGAAGTGATATCGACGCCAACAGATATCATCATCGTCCTCGAGTATGCGGGTGGCGAGCTGTTCAATTACATCGTCGATCATGGACGCATGCCCGAGTCACAAGCGCGACGCTTCTTCCAGCAACTCATCTCTGGGATCGAATATAGCCACCGCCTCAAGATCGTCCATCGTGACCTCAAGCCGGAGAACGTACTCCTCGACGCGGATCTGAATGTCAAGATCGCTGACTTTGGTCTCTCGAATGAAATCAAAGACGGCGACTTCCTGAAGACCAGTTGCGGGAGTCCAAACTATGCCGCCCCCGAAGTCATCAGAGGTGGGTTATATACTGGTCCTGAGATAGACGTCTGGAGTTGTGGTGTCATTCTGTATGTGATGCTCTGTGGTCGTCTACCCTTCGAGGACGAGGACGTGCAGACACTCTTCACCAAAATAAGCCGTACGTATACGTGTTTTCAGTCTTTTTGACCATTCTGATGTCGCCGTAGAGGGCGTATATCACATGCCGTCGTACTTGTCTCCGGAAGCGAAGGGACTGATCACTGGCATGCTCGCTGTCGACCCTGTCAAACGTATCACGGTTCCTGAGATTATTCAACACCCATTCTTCACCACCGACCTTCCGCGTTATCTCAGCCCATTACCTCCTCGCCCTGGTCCTGTGCTGGGAACCTTGTCGTCACTTGTTACTCCGCCGAAGGCGCTCGATTTCGAGATCATCGAGGGCTTGGGGAGAATTGAGGAAGACGTCGTCGACGATCTGGCGGTGCGCATGGAAGGCGTAGACAGGGAAGACGTATGGGAGTGTCTCAGACGACCTGACGGGCCTCAAGGAAATGCGGTTAAAGTTGCGTACATGCTTTTGCGAGATAAGCGGAGATTGGGGAGAGATTGTAAGAATTTCATCATGAGTTCCTGTGTACATGGTCTCACAACATGACCTCAGTGGCAGAATACGCGGAACAAGAACGAGACGCGCAGTTGGCTGCCCTAGACGTGCGTTTGCCATTCTTGAGCTTTGAGTCAAGTCGCTAACATGTTCCCTTAGCCACGTAACCTTCTCTCACCAACTGCGCTGTCTCCTGGAGGGACGGAGCTAGAAGAAAACCCGTTTGAGTCTGAGTTCAATGGGTACGATGAAGATGACGACGACGGGCTCGACTTCTCAACACCACAAAACGAAGCCGAGATTAGCAACTTCGCGGTTCTGAATTCGTCGCTCCCAGAGCAACTGCCTGAGCAGCACCACCTCGCATCGTACGCTAGCGCGAAACGACAGTGGCCGGTGAGGGAAAAGAAACAGCATCGGACGAAGTGGCACTTCGGTATTCGCAGTAGGTCACCACCAATGGAAGTGATGTTGGAGATATATCGAACACTGAGGGCACTTGGAATGGAGTGGAAGGAGAAGAAGGATCTTGGCGGACTTGGTGGGCTCAAGGGGGACAACCGTAATAGCGAGAAGGTAAAGATTGATCGCGCGAGGGAGTTCGATGGCCCTGGATATGTCGACTTGCGTGCTGCGTCCTCTGTATACTTCGTCGAGACGAGGGCGAGGGTACAAGATGTGGTGGTGAGTCCCTCTTTTCCGTCGCAGCCTCCACACCGGTTTCTGATCCATGCTTGTGCAGGTCCTCATGAACCTTCAGTTGTACATGGTCGATTCCATCAACTATCTCGTCGACTTCCACCACAAGAAGACTTACAAGGCGTCTCCAGATTCCAGCTCCGGGATGTTCGACATGGCGAATCCGGATACCAGCCTTTCCGAGACCGCGTCCGAGTCAAGTCGGTCTGTGAAGGACTTGAGCTTGCGCGAAGACGAGGTTGTATCGCCATTCGTTTTCATGGACGTCGCGTGTCGGCTAATCCTCGAGCTCGCTGGCGGCTCAGAGTGAGCCACCTTGTTCAGTGGTTGCTGCTTCATCTTTTCGTGCGCGTGTTTTTCTTTTGTCAGCTATCGTATTCGCTATGGTTGTAGTACTTATCCTTGGTTACCCCGCCCTGTGTTGTAGCTCTTTGCCCACCGGAGATGTATGATTACGCTCATGAAGGAACAATTTAACCATCTAGACACTATCGAAATGTTGGTCCCATTCACCATATCCATCGACCAGACCATTGCCGTACTCTGACTTCCCTGCGTGGTCCACCTTTACATCTCGATACATTGCTCGCATGCCTCCCACTCGATTTTCGGCGCCGCGGCGTATGGGCTCGCCACCCCTCCCATCAATGCATTCGATCACTCTACTTCCTATCACTGGGTATATTTCTGACTACTGATCGCACTGAAGGCCAGGCCTCCAGGTCCCGTTGGCGTATGTCAATATCTCCTGGTTCATACTGTCCACTGTATGCATGCGTAGACTGCCTACGATGATTTCCAAGTCATCGGAAGACTATACGACCGAGGCCCCGTACGTGCCAGTTTGCGCTGCACCAGCGACTTTGTATGGAAATATTGATGAATATTGGCTACCTCTACGTGAACAGGTCTACAAGCTTCGCCGTCGTCGCCCTGACAGGGTTAATGGCGCTGCTCGTCACATCGATATGTCTTACCTCGCACATCGATATTGTACAATAATTCGCCGCTCGCCGTCGACCGACCAGCCGTCCTGTGTTCGTGTCAAGCGAGCACTATCATTGGGCCACTACGGTGTCTCACGTGAAATAGAAGCACAGCTGTCATACTGGGCTTCTCTCGAGGCTGTTGATGAATTAGCTGGTGTCAGGCCCAAATTTCCTCCTTGTCGCAGACTGTGGTGCGTAAGCCATCGGAAGCTGGCCATCGCGACTGTTTCGCCCCACCGCAGCGCAGTACGACGTTTGTGCATTCACGTAAAGTGCCAGCCTGGACGCGGGAAAGAGCAGTCTGCATGTCGTCGGCTGGGAAGAGGTTGGTAGCCTGCCGGTGGAGCGTTTGACACGGGATCCGCAGAGCGACTTCTGTCAGTGTCATGCTCTGTGCCCATGTGAGTGTTCTATTCGATATGTGCGTGACATTTATATTTTCATGACGACAAGACGTGAGAAACCTGCGAAGTTGCCTTGTTCGGGCATGGAATATCCAAACTCGGCCGTTCGACAGCCAGACATCCATGCTGCCCTGCCATTGGTTCGTTTCCGTCCCCGTCATACTTGTCAGACCGTCGCTGCAAACATATATAAGACCCAGTCGACGTCCCTCGGCCTTTCTTCTGTACCACCATCGTCCCCGCCGATATGGAGTCCACCACGACCTCCTCGTCCCAGTCCTTCGTCCCTCTCTTCGACAAGCTCCCTTCCCCGAGTCGTAACTTGTCGACGGCCTCGTCCATCTGGGCCCCGCAACCCCAGCCGTCCGACACGGCCTGGTCCAGAGCCATAGATTCTTTCACTAGAGTCAACGTCATCAACAACGCTACTCGGCCGGAAGCACGTCGCACCACGTCATTCCCTGTCGCCTTCGGGGGCGAAGACGTGTTCGGTCCTGTTGGTTTCGTTGGCCATCGCAAGAGAGACGTTGGCGCCATTGGGGATGGCCGCAAAAAGGTCTCTCCGACTTCGGATGAAATCGTCTGTATCAAGTTTTCCTCTCTCGTAGACATACCTTTACTCACTCGTTTGAGCTAGCATGTTGAACAGTTACTTCGCAGTCTCAACCTTAACTCACCCGCACCCCTAATTCCCCCCTCCTCCTTTCCCCCTCCGTCCCCAACTTCTCCTGATCTATCACCTATCTCTAATACGTCTGCTCTTTTGACCCCTACCGATCTATCCCCTGCAAAAATGTTTGACCCAAAATTTGCGCACTACGACTTTGGTGGCGTCTATTCTTCGCAACCGAACGATCGTCTGTTCGAGACAAGTGCTCCGCACGGGTATCACGATGGGCTGGCTGGATCGAACCTATTCCGCAACTCTAGCTCCTCTTTCCCGTCCTCGCGAAATGCTTCTGCTTTCCGCGCAGAGTCGAACGCCTTCCCGGTTTTTGAACCGTTTTCCGAAGGTCCTTCCCCGGCTCCCAGTGCTGCGCCTTTCCTTCGGGATTCGCATTCTATTCGTCATCGCGTAGATTCTTCTCCCGTGTCTCCTGCTTACTCCCAGCGCCTCCGCACGTCGTCTGAGTGGGTGAACGAGGAGAGACGTGTCGTTGACTACACCTCTGCGATCCTTGACAATGACCCTGTCTTACGCACTGTGCAGTCTTCTCACTTACAGTCTCAAGGTCCAGGTCCGTCTCACGCTCACGAGGTCAGTACCGCATGTGTCTACTGTACTGTCGTGTCGCTGATGAGATCCTGGACTGCTGATATAGCCCATTAACTTCCTTTCTTTGCTCCATCCTTCTTCGACCCCTCCTTACCATCTCTTTGTGTCTCGCATCATCAAATCTTCTGATCAGCAAGCGTCGATCTTCCTTCAGCAAAAGCTCAAGGTTGCGGATTCCGAGGAACGCGCCAAAATCGTTGACGCTATATGCGCGAAGGGTTTTGAGATGATGGCTCATCGGTAAATTCCCAGAAAACTGCATGCATATAGTCAGGTCTGATGCGACTGCTGATGTAGCTTCGGTAATTGGGCCGTCCAACGCTGCCTTGAGGCTACGGCAAGTATAGAGGAGCGCAGAAAGATCGTAGGCTGCATGAGGTCTGTTCATAGACTGGCTCATAATTCCAGTTCTCACCGTTCCGCGGTAGGGGTCGCGTTGTCGATCTAGCCACCAACTGCTACGGCTGCCATGTGTTGCAGAAGGCGCTCGATTGCGAGGAGGATATCCGCTTGTTGATCGTCTCTGAGCTTCTTCTCGGTGATCCGGCGCAAACCCTGGTCAATAAACATGCTTCTCATGTTTGGAGCAAGGTCCATCATATATCTCGCACTGCTGGAGCCTTGACTCACCTTCTGCTAGATTATGGAACTGACTTGGACGCCTCCTGCGCCCCCAATCTTTACTTAGTGCGTTTTCTGCTACATTTTCGCCGCATATAATGACTCACCTTGCACTATGCAGTGTTAACAAGTCATTGAAGGGGAAGTGGGCGTCTCTGGCTTGCCACGAGACGGGCTCCCTTGTCGTTCAGGTATGCCTATTTGCAGTCTTCGATAACGAAACGTTTATGAGTACCATTCAGCATGCCTTCGAAAACCTTGAAGAATCGGCCAAGGACGGTATCGTCGACGAGCTTCTCAATCAAGGACCGGATGTCTTCGGCGAAGTTGCGAAGAGTCAGTGGGGCTCCTATTGTGTGCAGCACAGTGAGCATGCTTCAGTTCTCTGTTTTGCATTCGCTGATCTTTTCATCGAAAGTTCTCGAGCACGGATCGAAAAGCCACCGCGACATGGCCCTCGACCATCTTCTGTCAGGTTTACTCGATTATGCCACTAACGAGCAAGGCGTCAAGTCAGTCACGAAGGCGCTCAAGGAAGGCGGCAAGGAGACTCTCGATAAGCTCATGAAGCGGATGTGTGAGCCTTCCAGAGGGTTCGCCGTTTCTTCTGACTTTTTGTCGCGCTGGATGCTAATGCGCGGTGTAACTCGTAGAGGCCGCCGAGCAATGATCGTCGATTTGGCGCTTTCCGTGACGGGAAGCCAGTTGATTGCGAGCGTGTTACCTAACGTGAGTGTGGTCAATGCGTGCCTTGATTCGCCTCAGACTTATGAACCTTCTTCAAGGCCGACAAAGACCAGCGCGCTCTTCTCTACGAGTCTATCCGTGGGCACATTGTGACGTTGCGTGGCTGTAAGACGGGATCCAAGGTTATTTGGTTGTTGTATGTTGTACTTCCCATCTCACTAGGCATATATGTCCTGATTGTTGTGTCTCTTCCAGCGATCGAATGGTCTGAAGACTTCTTCTGTCTACTATTTTTATGGCTGACCATTTCGCAGCGCGCATACTATGGCTACTAGTACTGAACGATCTCTACGTCGTTTTGGACATCAAGCACATTTCTCCCAGCACATCTTCAATGCAATCTCACACGCTTGTTCTTCCTGGGCCTCCTACATCCCCATCCATACTTCGCTTACGACTCCTTGAAAACATCGGAAACTCTCCAGCAAGCTTCGTCGTCTCTCCCATCCATACAACAAGGCCAAGTCAACATATCATCTCGCATCAAATCAAGAATACAATTTCACAACCATGTCTTCCATCGTCATAAAGCAAGCATCGCGGTCATCTGGTCTCTTTTACCACGCCGAATCGAACGCATCCTCCCACTGCATCAAACGCATCTGCCTGCAAACGGACTCTCATTCGCCATACACATCATCTGTACATCTTCTCCGTCGCATTTACACCGCTCGCCTTTTTATTGCTCCTTATTCCATCCGTACCTTCGTTCTTTCTCAATGTTTTGACCGGTTGCAGTCGCGGTGTTTTCGCTTCGTTCTACCGCACTTCGTATTCTTCCAGCGTCTCGCTTAGGCCGCAGACCCTTTGTACCAAGTACATCCTACACCCACTGTCTTTACCATGTCGTCGAAGTAATCGTCGTCGTATGCATCGTCTGAGTCGCACGAAGATCGAACCGTTAGAGCAGTTCAACTGTGCACGCGACGCGTCGAACGTGCGTCGCGTGACGTCACGCGAATTTTTCGTTTCAGGAAAGCTGTCTGCGCCAAGCGTATGCGCTACTCCCAGTAACCCTGGTCCGCCGCAGAGCCGCCATGGGCTACATCCCTCTGCATGCGCTAGAAAATCTCAAAAAATATGCTTACAAAGGAGTGGACAAGCAAGTAATCCTCGCACAGCATACCCTCACCACCGTTGCTCACCACGTCACACAGGTCCCTCATCACCAGATTTGTTCTCAATCCATTCTGGAACTGGCTGGTTACCCTGTGGCCGACATGGGTTGCTCCCAACACCGTACGCCCAAATATTTCTATTGCTGCTTATGTGCGCATTGAGGGAACGCTTACGTGTGCAGATCACACTCTCGGGCCTATGCATGGTGCTGCTGAACTTCGCGACAATGCTGTGGTTCGACCCGACGTACCTCACGGAGAAGGAGGGTGCCATAGGACCGCCTCGGTGGATATACTTCACGCGAGTAGCTTCCTGTTTGTTATCTGCCGCACCACGCCTGAGCAAAGTTACGCGGCTCCAGATGGGCGGTGGGGCTGTTTTTGTACCAGAGCTTTGATGCTATTGACGGGTGAGTCTGGGATGGTATGCTGCTTGGCTCGTTCGTGCCTATTGTTTTTCTTGAAGGAAGCAAGCGCGGCGTACCGGGATGGCGGGACCTTTGGGGGAGTTGTTCGATCATGGTGCGTCTGAATACCGTCCACCACGGGATAAAGTGCTAATTCACGGATCACAGGTTGTGATGCACTGAATACTACGGTGATGCTCTTCCACCGTTGGCATTCGTGTTCGACATTTAACACAACCTTCAGCTTGAAGTCATCCTCGCGAATCGCGCGCTGAACCTAGGCCGTTCATGGTGGACTGTCGCCGCCCAGATCGCGACTCTGGCGAATTTCTACCTTACCACGTGGGAGGAGTATCACACTGGTGCCCACCATTCCATCACCTGATGCGGCACATCTGACTGTTTGCTCCAGGACAGTTGTATCTCGGTGTGTTCTCCGGACCCGTGGAGGGTATCTTGATGATCGTGGGCCTCTACATCGTCTCTGGGATCTATGGTGAGTCCTTGTGAGTAGCTTATTGAGCTCCTGTTAGATCGGGTAATGTAGGTACGACTATATGGGATACGGGTTTCCTCACGTTCAGCGGATTAGACAAGGTACCTGCGATCGCCGAGAAGGTGCCCGATATCGGGTTGAATGATCTGTTCATGCTCTTTGGCACGCTTGGCTTGGCCTTCAACATCACTATTAGGTGCGCGCTCACTCATTGCTACATCGTCTACTTGCCCACTCTGTACGCAGCTATATCAATGTGTACCGATCCTGTGTGGAGAACAAGCAAGGTCCATTTCAGCCATTGCTACTGCTGCTCCCCTTCCCAGTGTCTGTCGCGATTGAGGTCTTCTGGTTGGCGTCGCCGTCGTACCTGGATTCTGCGATAATCAACTCGCCGCTGTTCTTGCCGTTCCTGTGCGCATGGGGTCTGCAGTTTGCACATCAGGTATCGCGCGTTATTCTCGCGCACCTCACGAAGCAGCCGTTCCCGTGGTGGGATTCGATGTGGATATGGAGCATCGTCGGCGCGATCGACGCTAACATGCCGCTGTTGTTCAATCTGTGCGTCCCCTCGCTTTACTTCCCCCTCTCGCCAATGTTGACTTCGTTTGTGTTCGCAGGCCACCATTGATCCAGAGCACGCGGTTCAGGACGACGATCTTCGTGTATGTGACGCTGGCGGTGTCGTTCCTCTCTTACGCGCGGTTCTGCGTGCTGGTGATTCGCGATATCACGAACTACCTCGGGATCGCGTGCTTCACAGTGCGCAAGAAGAACGCGAGCGGCGCGTGGGTGGAGGCGTCAGCAGCGAACGGCGACGCGAAAAGGCAGTGATGCCTGCTCGACACTCCGGCGGGTGGACGACCACTGACGAATGCTGCTCAACAACGATGCGATACGAAGACGACGCGTGACGAGTCGGTTATTTACCCGGTAGAATATGTAGACACAGGTAATCGCTAGAGCTCATGCATATGCTATGATCTTGTTCGAATGCTATCGCAGTTGTCCATGCATTCCGCGTTCAGAGTCATCAGAGAAGGGTTGACGGAATCTGTGTCCCTGCCTACGATCGTGGTGGCGATGTTTCGGTGATAAGATCACAGAGGCAGTGATCGAGTCAGGTTTGAGCTCACGCGCGCCGCCGGGATAACCTGTGTACTTGAATGCTGGTGCAGGCCCTCCGAGCCTCGCATTATCCTCTCCCTCGATTGTACACGCTAAACTTACGCCCCCAACACACTATTACCATCAAACTTGCTCGAGGAATGACGACGACGGCAACACCAGAAGCGCTGAACGCGGAGATCGCGCAGGTTTCTGTGCACATCGCCGACCTCCGCAAGCAGCAGGCGGACGCGGCGCTCATCGAGGAGGAGAAGAAGAAGCTTGGCGAGCTCAAGCGCACCTTCGCGATGCTGCAGAATGCAGGAGGCGCGAAGGATGCGGGCAAGAAGCGGGAACGGCTACTGCTCAAGACGCCCAAGGTGCGTACGCGACATGCTCGGACCTCTGCTCGGACTGACATGACTTGCATTCGCCCCCGTGCTGGTGCATACTCTGGGAATCTAATGTTTGCAGGGCACACGCGACTATGGCCCCGGCGAGATGTTCTGCCGCGAGCACATCGAGCGGATCGTCAAGGAGTGCTTCACGACGTATGGCGGGAGCTGCCTCGACACGCCCGTGTTCGAGCGCAAGGACATTCTCGCGGGCAAGTACGGCGAGGACGCGAAGCTCATCTTCGACCTCATGGACCAGGGCGGTGAGCAGCTCGCCCTGCGCTACGACCACACCGTCCCGCTCGCGCGCTACCTCGCCATGGGCGGTGCGCAGGTCGCGTCGTCGAAGCTCTGGCAGGTCGGGAAGGTCTACCGGAGAGACAACCCGGTGATGTCCAAGGGCCGCATGCGGGAGTTCTCGCAGGCTGTATGTCGTGTGCTCGTGTGACGTCGTTGACTGGTGCTGACTTGGGATGTGCCAGGACTTTGACATCGCAGGGCAATGGGACACCATGATTCCAGATTCCGAGCTGATCAGTCTGCTGTGTACGATCTTGGCGAAACTAGATGTGGGAGAGTTTACCGTGAAGGTCAGTGCGTATGCAGACACTGCCGGTCTCTCTGCTTAACCTCTGGCAGATTAACCACCGAAAAATCTTGGACGGCATTTTCGAGGTGTGCGGAGTGCCACCAGAAAAAATCCGCTCAATATCTTCAGCAGTAGACAAACTAGACAAGGTAATGACCTGAACTTATTCTCGACATCGTTCTCTCAACTGTTGAGCTTAGCTTCCCTGGGTAGAAGTCAAGAAAGAAATGACCGACGAAAAGGGTCTTGACGCTGCGGTAGCAGACAAAATTGGAGAATATGTCAAGCACAAAGGTCTGCATCCCACCGTAAATCCATGAAGAACAATACTCATTCGTTTGCCAGGTGGACTGGCGCTCCTGGATCAGCTGAAGGCGGACAAGGCACTCATGGCAAATCCCAGCGCAAAACATGGAATCGAGGAGATGGCCATCCTCTTCACCTACCTCACCGCGTACGGCGTAATTGACAAGGTACGGTAGTCCGCAACTAGCATATCTTGTTCCTTACGACCATCCTGACATGTTCCCAGCTCTCATTTGACCTCTCCCTCGCGCGGGGGCTGGATTACTACACCGGCATCATCTACGAAGCGATCGTGGAAGCGTCCGCACCACCAGGCTTCGACGCTGCCAATGCCTTCGCCTCCCCCTCCTCGCCACCGCCCACACCCGCACCCGCGAAAAAGAAGCCGGCTAAGAAGAGCACTGACGAGGAGGATGAGGAGGTCGACGAGTCCTCCGTGGGCGTCGGCTCGATCGCCGCGGGCGGGCGGTACGACAACCTCGTAGGCATGTTCACCGCCGCGGCAGCGGCGGAGGGGAAGAAGACCGCGGGGGTGCCGTGCATCGGCGTGAGCATCGGGCTCGACCGCGTGTTCGCGATCGTCTGGCCCAAGTGGGTGCAGCGCGGGATGCGCAGCAAGGAGACGATGGTGTACGTCATGGCCGCCGGCGACGGGCTGCTCACGCAGCGCGTCGCGCTCGTGCGCGAGCTCCGCGATGCGGGCATCAAGGTGCGTCTCTCGCTGCCGCTGCGCGTATCCATGGTAGAGGTTAACGCGGCGCGCAGACGGACTTCTTGTTCAAGAACAAGCCGAAGATCGCCGCGCAGTTCGCGGCGGGGGAGCGCGACGAGGTGCCATTCGCAGTCATTCTGGGCGAGGAGGAGCTCAAGGAGGGGCTCGTCACCGTGAAGGAGCAGAAGTGGGAGCTCGTTGACGGGAAGAAGATCAAGATCGAGTCGACCGACAAGGGCGTGAAGGTGAAGCGCGACGAGCTCATCGCGTGGCTCAAGCGGACACAGACGCACGCAGAGTGGGCGAGCGGGAAGTGGGTGCAGAGCTGAGCGCGTTGGGGCCTCGAGGGGTGTATACCTGTGTGCAGAAGATATATAGATGTAATAATTGGGATAGATGCGTATCCAACCAAGCTCCCCTGTCCGCGGGGCCGTTATGCAAGTAATCCAGAAATCCAGGCTTACAGGTACGTGAAAGTATGATAACATTCCGCGATCTTCATTGCTTATGACAGCTCAATCCTCGTCTTCCGAGCCCGATCCTGAGCCCGATCCTGAGCCGGGCTCGCCTTCATCCTCGTCTAATGGGAACAGTAAGCTCCAGAATGTAAGGCAGTAGATGGAGACACACCATCAACAACATCGTCGCGCGAAATCGCGGCACCCGCCTGCGCGTTCCGTATCAGCGCGCGGATCTCGCTATCGTCAGGAGATACAAGGTCCGACGCGGTCTCGCCGTTCTTGTTCTTTATCCTGCGCATGCCAAGGGGCATTAGGTCGGCCTTGCGCCGCACGGAAAGGGGGCGGAAACGTACGTGGTGTCTGCGCCAGCGTCGAGCAAGCTCTCGACGACGGCCATGCGCAGCTCGGCGTCGGGGTGTGCGAGCGCGAGGTGAAGCGGTGTTGCCTTCTCGATGCGGTTGACCGGGTCGACGTCGCAGTCCTCGTGCGAGAGGATGTGCTCGAGCACAGTGAGGTTGCCGTGCGAGGCGCTGAAATTGAAGCACAGCACGGGAAGGATGGAGGAGGGTGGTGAGTGCCCTGCCAACGCGCGGCGCGAGGCGGAGATACATACTCACGCGTAATGGAGTGCTGGGCGGCGCGCGGTCAGCGCGATGCCGGGACGTGCGGAGGCGAAAGCGCACCTGTGTTTCCCAACCTGCGCACGGGCACGGAAGTCAGCGGGGCGGGCGATGCGATAGGGGGTGCGCGCACCCATCCTGGAAGTTGATGTCGAAGTTCCCGGACTCGAAGACGTCGAGGAGCATATCCTCGTTGTCCTGGCGCGCAGCGGCGAGTAGCCGTTCGTCTGGCACAGTCCCGGGTTTATTTTATTTGCGCAGATGAGGTGGTGACTACGTACTATTGCTTGCACCTTCTGATGCCATGTTGTCGTCCGAAAGAGCAAGCGGCTATGCAGCAATACAACACGGTAGAAGTCGACACGCGTGACTTAGACGCCCAGAGCGCGTGCACAACCATAAACTCTCGACTCATTGATCCGCTGCAAGTCTAACTTCGGTGCGTGCATCGCCGCCCGACGAAAGGCATAGGGGCGTTCTGCGGAGTGTAGAACAACATAGTTGGAATAAGTGATGAGAGTAACATAGACATGGTCATGGCTACACTGTTGGCAGTCAAAACTCGCAGGTGAAATGCTCTACACGTCGGATAGCGACTTGTCGCGCACCAACCAACGTCGTTGATAGCCATGAATTGGCCATGAAAGCTGATACAACGCAATGGCGCGAGAATACTTAGATCTAACCGTTAGGAAACATTTTGCAGTCACCGATGAAGTTGCAATAGATTACGGCGAAAAATAGCGATCCATGTTCAGTTGAAGCCGCCGTATGCACGGACGTCTTTCGTAGGAAAGACGTTATCCAGTATCAGTAGGACACATATCATGCGATTTTGTCCGTAGTAGTACCACACGTTGGTATTGCCCTTGGCATAGAACGTTTACTGGCGGGTCATCCGGCGTCAGCATAACACGATCTGGCAGAAGGAGAAGGTAACTCTGTTAACCTACTTCTAAGCTAAGAAGACACGCTTTATGACGAGTACAATTCTTCTCTGATGTTAATCCCTTCGAGGAGACGTAAGCACCGCACGGAGAGATTGAAGGCAGAAAGCTGGACATACCGAGCTCCTCCCTGACGCCCTTGAGCTCATCCAAATAAGCCTGGTACTGCTGCTTGTTCTCCACCTTCTCCTTGATGCCCTCAAAAATCCTGACAGCTGTCGCGTAGTCGTTGACGCGGCGGGCGGCGCGGACGGCAGCCTCGATGACGTTGGGGGCGGGAACCAAGTCGTGCGCGAAGCAGTTGTTGAGGCCGCGCTGGACCTCGAAGAGATCCTGCGCGGACTGGAAGAACTGCAAGTACCGCTCGTTGAACGACTCGAACGTCTCCTGGTGGTCGTGCGCGCTGGATGCGGGGCGCGCGAGGGCGGGTGCGACGCGCACAGCGACGGGGCGTGCGCGGAGGAGGGCCGTGATCATCTGAGGACGCATGGTGGTGGAGAAGGAGGGCAGGAGACGAGGATTGTTGGGAGACGACGGGTAAAATGGCTGGCTCGATGTCAAGCCTCGCCGCGACTCGTCTGGATTTCCTCTCAACCGGTCCACTCCGACCGTCTCTCCATCTCTCTCTCCACTTCTGCTAAGGCTGCTCACTTTTCTGGTGTTCCCCCCCTTATTTCAAGGAATACATTCTGTCAGCGCCATGTTCCTTTTATTTTACTGAGGACGAGTGGTGAAAGTACCCGAGACTGTTCTTGGAAAATGAGAGCTCGGTGTGGTCGTATTTGGCGGTTGCCGCATAAGTAACGGGCGCCGCTGGCGGATTTTCTCACCCAACCTCTTCCTCCGCCACGACACCAGCTCTTCAACTCGCAGCAATGGATGATGGTACGTCTTCAGCATCAGCCCCGGCGACGACGACAGCGACGACGATGTTCCTGCTACCACCTTGTGACTGTCCGCACCCACCACGCCCCCACCACGCTTCCGAGGACTAGTCTCTAATGTTATCCGTACGGCCGCAGCAGCCCTCAGCCCACAGTTGACGCCCTGTGACGCCCGTGGTCTGCGCCGTGTGCATTGTCGTCTGTTGGCTGAAGGCCTTCAGCGACGAGTCTTTCTTGCAGGCGCTCTGGCTCGGTCGTCAGGAGAAGCAGTCCAGCATAGCACTGCACTTGCGCCTTCAGTGTTCAGTACTTCCCTCTTCCGTCTCCCTGTTGTGTGTTCAGTTTCTTCACGCATACTCCACCCGTCCGTACGCGTCGGCGCCGTTTCCCTTTTCTTGTGTGTGCCGGCCCTCGCCCGCCATCCCTCACTATCCCTCCTCGACATAACCGACCTGACTTAACCCTCCCCCGCACCTCTCAGCCTGGCAGTCTCAAGATATGGCCCCTCCGGCCAACGGCGGCGGCATCAGCATTCCGACCCACGACACTACCATGAGCAACGGCACCGGAATAGGCAGTGCTGATGACCAAGGATGGAACAACGGCGAGCCCGCCCGTGCGGTTGAGCCCCCGAGGCGCTCCAGCAGGAGCAGGAGCCCTGGGGCACGCGGCGACGACAGAGCGTCAGTTTTTTCATTTTCATTTTCAGGCTTATCCTGAGACTGAAGATGCTGCAGTCGCGGCGACGGTAGCGGCGGCGGTCAGAACCCAGGGAACAACCTGCATGTTTCCGGGCTGAGCAACCGTGTCGACACGCGCGACCTCGAGGCTGCGTTCGCCAAAGTGGGCCGGGTGAGCATCGATTGCTGTGCCGCCGCCACTCGTTGACAGCTCATTGTTCTGCAGATCAAGAAGGCCCAGGTCATGTATGATCCGCACACGCGTGAGTCGCGCGGGTTTGGGTTCGTGACGATGGAGACCGGCGAAGAGGCAGATGCTGCTATCACCGCGTTGAATGCTACTGATCTTATGGGCAAGACCATGACAGTCGAGAAGGTGGGTACTTAATCTTCCTTATGCTTTCGCGCCTTTGATGGCATTATTTTGCAGGCCCGCCGTGGACGCGCCCGCACTCCGACGCCTGGAAGATATTACGGTCCGCCGAAGCGCAATGAATGTTCGTATTTTTTGGTGTGTTTGGGTTGGCACTCAATGTTGTCCTGCGCTAGACGAACGCCCCTACGACCCGCGCCCCTACGACAGCCGCTACTCGCGCAACGACGACCGCCGTCGTCCCCGCTATGACGACGATACACGTGGTGGTGGACGCGACTACGAACGTGGCGGTTATCGCGACTACGATCGGGGATACGGCCGCGACTACGACCGCCGCGGTGGCGGTGGTGGATACGACGACAGGCGGTACTAGGCTACAGCTTCTGGCTCCGAGATATGCCTGCCGAATCCGAGTCCGCGTCGGCTGCACCGCAGGCTGCAACTTGACCGAATCAAAAATTTCGCTGTTCCTCTTTATTCGTATGCCAGTGATTATTTGTGCTGATACTACTGTTGAATTCTCATGTACATATATAATGTGTTGTCACACTTTGGGCGATGGTGTCTCACTCGATTTGTATGCGTCGACTACCAACTGTCGTCGTTTGATATGTGAAGAATTCGGCGTTCTGCATATGTAAACGGTAGATTTATTACTTCGCTGTCCCAATCTCAGCTACATCGTATGGATGTTTTGGACCCACGACTCAATTGGCCATTAAGATCTGTCGTAGCGAGTTTGCCCTTCACTACTACACAGGCAGGTCACCGTATTCAACACGGTTGGACCCTGCTAGTGGTTGAACCCTGGGTGAATAGAAATGAGCCTGGGGTGGAAAAGGGAGGGGCGGACCTCAGTCTATCGGGCCCTCGGGTTAACCTGGGGCTCATTGGCGATGAGCCTCAGGCCCAAACGCTCGCTAGGTCACATGCTCGCAAAATTGCGCACCAGTTTAATTTGTCCTTCCCATTCTGTACTTATTGCCGTGAAATATGCTTATATGCAAAATAAAATATATATATATACTGTGTTCTATATGTACGAAATTCTCTACTGCACGCAGAACCGTTGTTCCCAGCATCCCTGTATCCATTTCAAACCACGCGCGAGTTCATTGCATGTCGTAATGTCCGCGGAGGAGGCTACAGTTGCGGAGATGCAGATCACTGACAGCGCGATGGAGTTCTCGATCGCCGCAATGAGGTCCGCGGTCTGCATGATGCTGCGGCTGTACGACGTCGAGGAGGTGGCCGCACCCATGCCCGTGCTCACACCGGAGAGGAATGTGTTCCCCGGTACGCGCGGATCCTGCTGGGCCATCGGCTGGGTGCTGCGCATGAGGCCGCAGCGCTGCAGGCACTTGTCTGTGCCGAGGATGAAGTGTCGGGGATCTGGTACCGCCGGTGATGGTCAGTCACGTCCGGTGTGTTAATTGAATATGAGTGCTGCGCTCACCATCGAGGCCAACTGGGCGACTTCTTGAACACCGACGTCACCGAGAGACGTGCTGACGACGTTGGGCGGCATTCCGAAAACTGACGTATGGAGTGTCAATATCACTCAGTTGAAATCGACAGGGAATGTGCTCACAGAGCTGAGCAACTGGACTAGCACCAGGATCCTCGCTGTTCAGCGCAGCTAATCGAGGGTGAGCATATAACGTGGGTGTCGCGCGTGGATCAGCACGTACAAACGAATGTAACAGGGTCTGGGAACACGTCGTAAACCTCTCACATCAATCTAAATGTGGATGAGAGACATACCACAGTTGTCATTGATCTCGAAGTAAACAGAGCCCTGAGGAAGGACTATGCCAGAACCAGCGGTCACATTGTTGAAGATAAAGCGTGTACCGCCCTGTGGGATCATGCCAGTGGTGATCGTGCTGTTGACTGCATACAGCAACTCGGTAGCATGGGGATGCGTGTGGAACACACTCACGAAAAGTACACACTCTGAGAGTTGTTGAGTGTTGATGCCACTGTGCACGTTTGGAGCCATGGCGGCTGGCTCTGATCTACTTGAAGGTCAGTAAATGAACATAGTGCATTGACATGAGGTCACAAGCTCTCGATGGCATGAAATCAAGGTACTGGTACAGAACATCAGGCGATGCAAGCATCACAGAAAAAGAACCAGAGAAAAGGAGAAAAAACACGGTTGAAAGCCCGACAGATGGGAATATATGCAAACAGGTCTTCAGCAGACCTTACAGCCGTTTGCGGAACATAGGGTGCGAGTGCAAAATTTCTATTTTTTTGACATTGTAGAGTATATCCACAATAGTTCTATTGTTTCTCATCCGACGTCTTTGAAAATTATTGCAACTGAATGGCACAGTGAATATCCAGGGGATGGTCTTGTCAGATTTTGAAGAGTGTGATTTGCCAGAACTGCGACCAGCAGGTATAGCAGTGTAAATTGTTCATATTGCATGCACACAGGTGAAACCTGTAGGTATCAACCACTGATATCAGACATTGATCACTTGTCAGCTGGGTGTCATGGCTGTCTCGCAAACTCAGAAATGCTATATGCAGATGGTTAGGTATCTCAACATATGCTCAAATCAGGCTTTTCAAAAATCTGACAACACCATCCCCTACATATTCACTGTGCCATTCAGTTGCACTAATTTTCAGAGAAATTGCATACAGAATGACACCGCTACTGTAGATATACTGTACAATGTCAAAAAATAGAAATTTCGCACCCGCGCCCTATGTTCCGCAAACGGCTGTAAGATATGCCGAGACACAACATGAGTGAGAGGGGAAGGGGAGGTGAGTGAGACGAGGGTCAAACAGAGTCAGAGAACAATTCAAACTGAACAGAGTGCCCAAAGGCAACTTCATCCCACTGCACCATGGGCTTTGTTTGACCATGTGTGGCACCCGCTGCAATGTGTGTCACATGATCAGGGCAAATTGAGCCCGGGGCTAAGTTTTGACCGGGTTCAACCCAGGTAAACCCTCGGGGCAGCCCTAACTCATTTGCAGTATCCCGCACTCAGGGTATTAACGGGTTAGATTCAGGCTCACTTGGGGGTTCAACCCTGTTTCTAATTCATTGGTTGAACCCAAGTCCATCTGAAGCTCTGGCTGTGTAGTCTCGCAAGCCAGACGATCGTACTGTGCTGCTCCTCGGCTCCGTCTTGGAGGCTGCCGGACACCAATATGTCGGACATCGAAAAACCCACTGCAGCCAGCACAGTAGAACATCTGGTGACTTTCAGTACAGCGGGTGTAGATAACCCTCAGGCTTCTCCTCTTGCTTCCCGCTATCCAGTAGCTACCTCCTCTCCCCCCACTATCCTATGTCTGTTGAGTCTGGCCTGTATGTTTGTCCGGAGTATTTATGTCACATTAGAAAGTGAAATCAACATTTAGATCGCGTTCACATGAGAATGGCAAAGCTGAATGCAGCGCAGACAGTACAAAACAGCGCACCCTTGAGACCATGCGAAGATGGGAGCAAAATATATTTCTGGTATTCATTTATGATTATGTATCTACTCGAGCCTCCTGAGGCATCAAAAGGGCAACTTGGAGGGCGAGATGTGAAGATTGGAGTTATCTACACCCGCTGTACTGAAAGTCACCAGACATTATAGCACGGAGGCTGCAGTGGTTTTTTCGATCTCCGATGTATTGGTTTTTGGCAGCCTCCATGCGGTGAATGTCTGGAATCGAGACTACTTCACTACGATCTCTGTATGGGGGTTGCAACATTGACCATGTGAGTTACCTGGCAGAACTCAGAAGAAACACTGCCCTCTATAATACTCTATGCAGTGCAGAGCCTTAGGTGCTATATCAGTCAGTCCCTCCCCCCTCTCATAGGACTGACTTTGTACTCTGCCTTTGGGAGACTACTTTAGGTGTACCCTGTCTTTAAATTCTCGAGATCCTCCTCATCTACAGAGTTCGCACTGCAGAGGTGTCCCAGACGTGTTTTTTGAGTGGAAATTTTCATACACATGTACAGGGGTGCTATAGTGTGCAAATGAGAAAATTTGCAACATTTTTGAGGTCACAGAAGACCCAGTATTTGAGTGGATGTGTTGCTCCCAGCCAAATTACCTAAAGATACTTATCTAAGTGAGTACATAGCAGTTCTCGGGGGAAATTGGCATGTCCCATGAAGAATATCACAACTTAGTATTCATGGGACATGCAGTTTTTGACCCAGCTGGCCATGTGGCCCTCTTCCACATCAGCCATGCAGCCCACCTTTTTTCTTCATTCATTGTTTATAGTCCTCGAAGGCGAAACCTTATGGTAGACTATATACAAACAGGTTCTAATCTATCATATTCCTAATCTGTCAGGTTGGTCAATTTCATACATATGCCTTATGGTGAGGGTTTGTAAGTGATGAGTAAGTAATCATGCAGAATGGCAGCCTGTGTGTAATGCTAAATAACCGGCAATCTCCAAGTCAATGTCCAAATTCATTTCCTCCAACTTTCCTCCTGGATTCAGACTGGCCGGACTGAATCCCCCCATGTTGCAGAGCCCTTGTGCGATGCACCCTTTCTCCGGGTCCCAACTGGAGATTTTTCTCCCATGCCATATTTTCCACATGTGCTCAGAAGAGAGTCACAAAGTGCTGACAGATGCTGGCGTGTTAAATTTGTGTTGCTGGCCAATTATAATAAAATAGATTGACAGGTGGATACTCGGCAGTACTCTGGATTCCAGAGACCTGGGGCGGCCGGCACAGAGGCTGGCACAATTTGCAATCAGAGTGGCTGAAGGGTTTCAGAGTGTCTAAATTGTTTTCTCTGAGGTGGGACCAAAGGAACTCGAACCTGTGGCTAAATGAAAGGCAAAAGCCAAACTTCCAAGCTGAATGAGCCTTATGAGACCGTGGTGCCACTACTGCATGGTAGCCCTCAATACAGCCCACTTCCGATGCTCACAATGCACTGCTGCTACCCACCTGCACCATCAAGCACCCAACCTCGACAGTGCCAATGGACAAAGATGTAATATCACTATGTCACGTCCAGGACATGCCAGAGGCCGCAGATGTACAGGCTGTGTGCAACACTCCTGCAGCACCAGCAGCATGTGTATGTGATGGTGTATGGTTACTGCCTCACCCACCCTTATCAATATTGCATGAACCACTCATGTTCAGTCCCACAATCTCTATGTCAAGTCCTTTACCATTCATCCCACCTCTGTGATTTGGATGGCCCAACTCTCAACTTTGCCACATTGGCCGGCACTGTTAGTGGGCCTGCCCACAGGACCCATGCCTCCCGAATCACTATGTGCAGTCTTCTCAGACACCCCTGATTATTGTTTATGAAACTGTAATCTGAGGCAGAGCCGATGGGTTTTCTGGAGTGGGAGGAAGTGTGTCTGTTGCACAATTATTTTATGGTATACACTTTTCTTTATTTCCTTTACATGTGATATGCTTTACTTTATAATGTGCCCATCTATTCTCCTCTTCCTTTCTTCTTCTCTAGATTGTTTCTGGTGGGGGAGGGTGTAATGGGTCAGTTCTGACGACCATTACTTGTTATGAATTGCTTACTGATTACCTAAGCAAGTTGCTTTTGATCACCTACACTCACCATCTAGCTGTACACACTTAGTCTTAGCTTACTTTTGACTATATATTGAGTCCACTGCAGCCCTGGTGAGCCTGAGGATATAAGCTTCTTACATAGGAAATCTGAATGCTGATAGGATTATTTTTGAGCCATGGCCGTTTGAAGCCACCTTCCATTTTGGGCTTCATATAACCTTTGTTACTTCTGTCTGTCATGCTGTAGACAATTTAACAGCAGATGACACCCTAGTCATTGTATTAGTAGGATATGGTACCAAAGACAAATTTTATATCATCAGATGATCCACACTAGAAATAAAGGTCTTGGAATGCATCCTACACCTCTGTAAAGCTCAAGTGCTTCTCATCTTCATTGCATACTGCTCTGAAAATTGGACTAGCCCTTCCTAAATTCTCCTTGCTGCATCAACAGGAAATTACAATACTCTTTCTGTGCAGCAGTCTGATTCAGGGCACATATAGGGGGTTTATTTACCAGTTCTCTTCTTGTTGCATGAGCAGTGGAGTACAGTCTTACTCCCCCCTGTCTCGGTCCACTTGGTTCTGGTGACAGACATATGGAACAGCAACAGTATACATTTGACCCTGATCAGCAAATGAAAGTGACGTATAAGGCATTCACTGTCACCAAGCTGCTCAGTACCATGAACATATCAAAGAATGCAATTAAATATAGAGAAGCTTTGGACCTTGTGTTTGATTCCAACAATTATGAATTGACTCAGCCTTACGACTTACCCTTGGTCCAGTTCTTGAGTGATGCTGGCTCTCTCAACCATCTTTGTGTTATTCCTTCATCACCACTATTCATTTGAGGATTTTATGATCATGTCAGACAATTTCATCTCTCAGTCATCTTCATATTGTTCCTTTATCACTATCAACTTAGTTCTATGAAGGTTATCATCCACCTTATGTTCATCTTCTTTCTATCGGTCATAGCCTCAACTCTCTTAACCAACATCATATTATTTTACTGTCACCATCAAAATTGTTTTGTAAGAGTTGTCATCTCAGTGCCAGTGGCATGTCAGGACTTAGCTTTACTCCATTTGGTTATTGAAGGTGTGCAGATTAGCAATCTGGCATCTATAGCTTTAAAGGTTTGGAAAAGGTCTGTAAGGTTAGGATTAGTAAGGACAAAGTCTTGAGAATAGTCTGGTAGTTTTTAGTCTCTTAGTTTTATGGTATATAAGAAGCAGAACAGGCTTCTAGGTAGACAGCTAATTCTATTCTCTTCTACTCGTAGCCTGAGGCACAGTTGCCTACTAGTTATGAGCCTTATGAGTTTAACCCCTGACCTATTATCTTATCTCTCCCTCACATCTTATCAGTTGATGTTATTACATGTGATGGCATTACTAAATCTTCACATTAGAATTCTGATGCTCATGGAAGATAACTACTATGAC